ATCAAACCCTTAAATGGTGCAGTGTCAGTGCTGGGCTGTACCAGTCGAGCCACAGAGGGACACAGCATATTAACAAACCCCCCCCTTATTTTCCACAAGCTGATGACATCCAGAGAAGGAAAAAAAAAAAAAAAAAAAGTCAGTGAGAGGACGGGTCCAGAAAAGGCAGTAGTAAACGTGTGCTATCACATGTGTCACAGTGTTGTGACATGTTAAAGGCAGTAAAATCGTACTTTCGCTCAAGTGACCGGTGAATTTCATTTGACGGATCGTGGCGTTTATGAGATGCCGCCGAAACGCGACACTGACCCCTTTTGTTCGCGGTTTTTTTTGTTTGTTTGTTTGTAGAGCTTTGTTCGTGTAGTGCTGGAAAATAACGCGAAGGTTGCTTGTTTTGTTTGTTTGTTTATTTGCAGTGCCACTGTAGAGCTTTGTTTGTTTAGTGCTGGAAAATAACGCGAAGGTTGCTGGACGTTCACGCACCAAATATTCACATTACTCCAGCGTTGGCTCATTTAACCAGCTGGCTGGTTTGGTGTTGGAGGGATGGCTTGTAAAAACACTCACTCCCAGGCTGCCATAAAGTCGTTTCTTTCAGGGCCCAAACAGCCAGTCTTCCTGTTGGGAGTAGAGGCAGGAGCTCAGCACAGCTGTCGGTGTCCGTTTCACCGTTGACTGCTTCCTACTACTGCTGTCACCCTTTACACCCAGTAGAATGAAAACACCTGACTTTTGATAAGTGCTTCTATTATCTTTAATGGGTGGGAATCTCTAGGTACCTCAGTTATGAAGCCAACAATAATATTCATGGGAATTATAATAAAAACAATTCTGAAACTGTTACACCAACATATAAACATTTAAACATTTTTAACACGTATATTTCACCCGCACTATTAAATATAACCGAATTATTTTGTAACATTTAACTTTTATTACGGTAATTCAAATGGAGCAGCATGTCCCTCTTGGGATTAGAAGACAAACACAATAATGAGCCAATCATATTTTGTTTTCTAAATGACAAAAATACACTTTTCTCAAATAAAATTCCGACAGTTCAAAGTTAGTTCAAAGCTAATAGGTGTCCAATTTTTTTTTTTTTTTTTTTTAAATTACACGACATTGTTTTTAACCCCAGGTTCTCATTCGTATGCACTTTTAAAAAGTAAAGAATATTAATTGGTTAATTGTATAATCTTGCATCATTATCTAGTTACAGTTGGATGTTGAACCTTAAGTAGCAATAATAATAATAATACTAATACTACCACTGCTACTACTAATAATCAATATAAATGTAACACACTTAACCATTCCCTCATTTCCTGAAATCTTTGGTTTATGCACTCGAGGAAAACTTTATGTAATCTCATCAGGTGCGAAAAGTTCAACCACTCCTGTAATCCAGACATAGAGGGATTGAATAAATGCCGCCTCGGAGTCTTTTCTTCCCTCTGTGTGTGTCAGACCCTGGAAGGCCACTCTCCCTCCTCTCCCATCTTCCCTGTCCTTCTCACAAGCAGCATTTTTCTATCCTTACCTCACCGTGGTTGTAAATAATCCTCACAATTGCTTCCAGATGTCTCTCCATCCAACTCTTGATTTGAGGATGGGGTGCAGCGGTGTTGAACCTTTACTGTAACCGGCTCATGTTGACTGATTCTGAAAATCTGATGCCCATTTGTTATATTCATTATTATTATTTTTTTTTTTTTTAACTTTCTTAGTTCGCAAATCCTCGTCTTCTGCCATAATTCTCGTTGTCATTCATGCCTAAAATGCACACTACGACGATAACGCAAAAAGAAACAAGTAAAATTCGTGACTACGTAATTTTTTTTTTAACTTTATATACAGTATATATATATATAGAAATATACGTTTATTTTTTTTCTCCGTTTCCTGTCTAGAAAATAACTGAGGTCACAAAACATGCAAGCGGTACAGATTTCGGAGACTGCCAATTAAGTCTGCATGCTGTCGTACACTTTTCTACGCGGGTTGGAGAATATATAATTAAATAGCAGTGTATACCTTGAGACTTCGTTTCAGTTTTTTTTTGTTTTTTTTTGTGAATCGTCGACATAACTAGTAGCTTTGCTATGAGAATAATGTGAGCATAAAGGTAAAAAAAAAAGCAACTGCGTTGTCAATAGGGTATTATACGTTACAAAAGAATCCGCTTTTACTAATAATTACAGCCAACATTATGTTATTTCACGCAGATACTTTGTGTACTTTGTACAGCTTGCACTTTATACGCACTTGCACGCACGCACTCCGATTCAAAAACATTTCACATGAGCACGCCCTAGCATTGAACAGACTGCGACTGAGGCCTGCTATAAGTGCTGAGCATATCATTTGCGGGCCCGCCGCTAAGTGAACGCACTCGTCTGTAGTTACAGAGATTCCCACACACACACACACACATACACGTCTTAGACTTCTTCTTTTTTTTTCTTCTTTTCTGCTGGTATGGAATTGAAGAGGCCTAATATGTGCTCAGCATTTAAGGGGTTAAACCAGTCCAGCTATGTGGATTAGCTGGCAGCACTCGTGTTTTTCCAGTTTCGCTACAGCCTCTGGACTCCGACTAAACATTGCCGCGTGTACGTTGATTATGTGTGCGTATTGCTTTATATATACTCGGTGCCTAAATGCTAACGACTAACTTCATATCTGCTCAGGTGTTACCCCGTGCCTTTCGCACATTTGAAATCCATCTGAGAACAAAGAGCTAAAGTCATGTCAGAGCTTGGATCACCACCTTTCCACGCTTTGCCAAGACCTTCCCACCACACCTTGTCTTAGCAACCGTTGCTATGTTTGAGCCTTTTTGTATGTTTTGCTATTGAGCAAAGATGTATTACCAAACAGTACGGTATGTATGTTTTCATCATTGGAAAACAGGGTGTTACCTGGGTACGTGGGGAGATTTCTAGTAACTACATGTTCTTTTTATGGTCATTTGTAAAACACACTCTGGACAGGTGTTTCCAAAGCACATATGCAGGTCCACACTTTTTTTTTTCTTTTTTTTTTAGACAAGCGCTGCGGCCTTTTCCACTGCACGTTTATAGTAGAGCTAATTTGTTCAGCTGTGATTTTTCCCGTCGCTGCCAGAGGAAATGTACTCACCAAAAATACAATTTTGTACGTCTTTCTGCGCATACCTCTACGTCTACGTTTGAATGTGTGCTCGGTCTGCAGACTCCTGGCTCGGTGGAACTCCTGAGTCAGCGTACGCTAACTGATGAGTGTTTCTACCCCAAACACACAGACAATACAGCTGGACTGATTAACCTTTAATCGTAAGGATTAAATGTCAACCGATCGGATGTGACTCGAGACTTTGAAGCCTGTTGAGACCCTCATATTACTTTGAATGATTAAAAAAAAAAAAACCCCATTCCGATGAAGTGTGTAAAATGTGATAAGAACTAGGGACGCTTGATATTGACTTTTTATACCGATATCCAATATTCCAGTAGTGTCTGGCACTTCATTTCCGATTCCGAAATCCCCCATTTTTTTTTCCATCTTTTTGATGCCCCACTAGATGTTTCCAGACATAAACATTGTTCTTGAAAAATAAGAAAACGTTAACGAATGTTAATTTTGGAGAAAATATTTACCAGACAAACATCTGTACTGCAGGATTGGCTGCTGTTTAAGATGCACGTACAGTTCTGTCTTCTGGACCTTTAATTTCTGTTTGAACTTGTTTCGGAAAACAAGGGCGAACACGAACGCTCGGTGCCAATTTTATTTTCACAGCTTTGTTTGGTATCTTTTTTTTTTTTAGAGACCTGAAGATATGTTTTTTTTCTCAGTTGCAATGCAATACAGCTATTTATCGGCTAGCAAAACTTTTCTCAGTTGCGATGGAACAGGCTCATCTTCCCAAATACAGCTATTTATCGGCTAGCAAAACAAAGCTCTTTTTGCTCTAAATTTTGAGTCAATGCTAATGTTTGTTATGGCAGCTGCGTCCCGGCGTTGTGATCCGGATGACTGAGTGGTCTCTGTGTGTGTGGTTTTTTTTTTTTTTGGTTCAAAGTATGTGCTAAAACATGGGCACACTGTACTGGTCAGTGGCTGTGGTAATAACAGGCAGGGCCAGCTGTTAGCTTAGAGTCTGAAGGGAAGATGTTTTTGAGCAAAGATCGTCTTGTCTGTTTTTTGTGCCCTTGTATTATTGGGTCCTTCTTGAACTGGTGTCGTGTCACGGCGAGTTCAGCGCGATGCTTGTCCAATTTGCAGATGGGTAGTAAATTTGTTTTTCTGCAGCCAGTGGTAGATAAGGATATTGAAATAAGTAACGGTTTTTACTTGTTTTGTGAAGGACGAAAAAAATCCCCCACACCCATTTCAATGAATATTTGTTCTATTTCTTCTTTCGATTCATTTTTTTTCTCTGACCACGGTAGGTTATTCCAAGGCATGCTGTAGTTATGTGAACCAGGAAGTGGTTGAATAGTTCCCCACTGGGGGGAGAGGAGGGGGGGGAGGGGGAACGCTGACAATGTCATCCGTAGATGAAATCTGTCGAGCTTTGTGAGAAAATCTCCGTATCCCTTGCTGATCCCTCCTGCGTTTTTCTTTTTTTTTTTTTTTTCTTTTTCCTTCAAGAACCACAGTGGCGTAACAATAGCCTGCTTTATCATTCAACCCCTCTGTATCCGGTGTCATGTGCCTTTAAGAGCTCCAGGTGGTCTTTACCTTTGATAAAGTCGAGTTAAAGTCACATGTAGTTTGTCACGAGTCAAAGAATCCAACATAGGAATGTTTCTATTTCACAGGGTCATATTATAGACCCTTTGTGTTGTTTGGGCTCTAAAACCTCGTACGATGTTTTCGCACCTAATTTAGCCTGCAGGGTTTGTGCGTACTTTAACATTTTGTTTCCGACTAGCATACGACAACAAGTAGCTGACAACGTTATTTTGACACATTAAATTAACCTTCATATTTTTTTTTTTTTCTCTTCGCAGCCAACTCTTTTACATCCAAAGTGAAGCAGATGCGCCTTCACAAAGAAGATTTCGAGATCCTCAAGGTGATTGGACGAGGAGCCTTTGGAGAGGTAACGTACCCGCCATGCAAAACACTCAGTAACATTTAGCCAGCCGCAGGTATTTTCTTGAACATACACCGTTAAGAGTGAACACTTTTTGTTGACTTGTCCACTCTGACAGGACATATGTCATAATCTTTTTGAAAGCGTTTTTTTTTCTTTCCCCCATAGGGCCACTAAAGGGCAATTCCCTTGTTTTCTCTAACCCTGACACCTTTATACCTGGCTTACAAAAGGCGAGAGCGGCGCTGTACTTAATAGTGGATTGCTTTTCACTGCATTCCAACAGCTGTGCGTAGCATTGGTCGGCCACACGAGCATGACTCTACTTGCAGCTCCAACACAACTTTTGGAATCTTCCTGCACGAGTAACACACGAGGAAAAAAAGAAATAATGAATTAGTGTCAGGAAAATTCATTTTATTTACGTTTATGTGCTTTGTCTTTAATACGTGCCTGTAGGGAGGGTGAAATGCGTTCGTCACTGGGTTTCAGCTAATGATGTCAAGGCCGGGGAATGTTGAAGGGACAGGTATCGCGCTCCTCAGCCAGGAATCTCGGATAATGTCATCGGAATACACCAAGTATCGCACATTATCATGAGGCGAGATGGGTTTTTAAGAGATGTTTTTGGGGGGGAACGAAACGATAAAACAAGATCACAAGGCGTGGCAAGACAATCCTTTGATCTTGGAGACTGATTTCAGCGTCTGCGCTGACAAGTGGGTGAATTCCTTTTGAAACGCTGCGGGAGGTGGAGATAGATATGAAGCAGTCGGCAAGGTGTGGATGCAGATAGATAGGGCACACCTGCCCTGTGTGGTTGCTACAACAAAGCGCTAATGTGCTCATGCTAGCATGAGTGCGTGTGGGCCATGTGTCTTGTGTGTGTATGTGTGTGTTCAGGCTTGTGTTCAGCGCTGTGGCGTGACCTGTGAAATGGTACCTTGTGCTAACTTTTCAATCACGTTTCTATTAGGTAACAGGCTGAGTTTTTTTTACGAGTTATTAATGACTAAATCTGATTGGCTTGAGGTTTTTTTTTTTTTTTCTGATGTAGACCAACTGGAGGTATTGGAGTGGTACATTTCCACTAATTACCTCTATATGTGAACCAGCAATATATCATGTAATATATTTAGTAATATTTATAAATGAATATAGTTATAAAAAAGTAGTTAATTTGTTTATATTATACAATTATTTTGAATGTACCTAATACATTGGACTAATACATGATAAAATGAATACATGAGCATGGACATAAAATATTTAAATTTTTTAAGCACAATCTTATGCATCGCGGGCATGTTATAGATGCTTGTGCGTTAAGACGACTCCCAGTTTCTTATATTTATACCATTAAGAGTTGTGGGAAAAACTGATGTCGGTTCCAAAGGGCACGAGTAGACGGTGGCGGAAAGGGTTGCCATTTGTGGATAAGTCAGGAATTAATGGCTTTGTTCTTTGGAACGAGCACGGTGCTCTGTTGAGCCGGTTACACAATCTGATGTTTTAAAAAAAAAAGGCTGTTACGGAAAGGATCTTGTCATGTTTGATTTTAAAAACTCACGGCTAAGTCGCCGAATAGGAAATACAATGCTGAGGAAGGGGACACAAATGAACAGAATGGAGAGATGTCAGGACGTTTGTTGCCAAGAACAGCGAACCTCCCCGTTCACTTCTTTTCCGTCTCTCTTCTCTCAGGAGAGATCAGTAATCCAAACACTGCAGGAATGTTATCATTGTATTACCCCTTCTACTGCATCAGTGTGTGTGTGTGTTCATGTGTAGCTTTTACCAGATAGCCACCAAAAAGCGTCTTTAAAAAAAAAAAAATACCATATACCAGTAACGGTGCGATCTCAAAGGTGAGGAAATATATCCACCGTGTTGTGATGCTCAACACTGAGTCGTCCCAGCTTCCAAAGTCAGAAAAAAAAACCTCATAATTCCGACAATATGGTAAATAAAAAAAAAAAATTGCAACCGACACGGGTTAATCGTTCAGCGGTGAACTTAACCGACTCTACGTCTGCCCCCCCTTTTTCCCCCCCTTCTCTCTCTGTGTCATTCTCTCACAAGAAGATTTATTTTGCTTTGTGAGTGGGATAAATATTAACTCACTGTTAGGGTAAAGGAGGTCGGCACAGGCCTCCGTGTGTATGAAACGGCGCAGTGTTTTGTCACGGCCAAATATACAGCTCCTTTTTTGGCAGAATATGAGGCCAGAGCTGCGGTGGTTCATGACGTTGACGGGCAACAATTGTCAGTGATGGGAACGTTCGCAGTTGTTAGTGTGGCACAAGATGCGAGTCAGTGGAAAAAAAAAAAAAAAGTCTTTTTAGTTTTGGTTTGATAAGTCCGTTTGTATGTTGCTTGCGGCGTATGTTTAATCCTTTGATATATGAAGGGCAACTTCTACTTAATTTTCCTTAAAAAAAATAAAAGCGTCAGTCATTTCTGTTTTAACTCTTAATGTATTTTTTTTTTCTAATTACAACAAAAATCCCAAACAATATATCTCAATATATCTATATATTTTCCTGTGCAATTTTATGTAATTCCTTACTTGGTTTGTACTTGTGTAACGTGCTTCACATTTTTTTTTTTTTTTACTTGGTTTGTACTTGTGTAATGTGCTTCACTTTTTTTTTTTTTTTCTTAAAAAATTAACCTTTTTAACCTTGATTTTTTTTTCTCTCTCTCTTCTGCCCCTCTGTTAAAGTGAAAAATACCGACAAGGTATTTGCAATGAAGATACTGAACAAGTGGGAAATGCTGAAGAGAGCAGAGGTGAGTAGGAAACACATTTCTCCTCCGGTCACTCGTCGGGGGAACACATCCTGTTTTTCCAGTATCAGTGCTGCAGAACTTATCGACCAATACTAAACCAAAAAAAAAAAAAAAAATGCCCAAAAACCTAAACGAACCACGGTCGCTAATTCAGTGCGTACTTCACGGGCGTCTGCAGTCCGTGTCACTGCCCGAGCTGTTGATGCATGTTTTTCCCATCGACCTCTTCCTGACATTCTGACATTCCTGTCAGTCCCCGGAGTCTCCAATCTTCATTCAATCTTGTGTGTCACTGGCCAAAACTATTGCCTGTTGTGTGTCAGTAACCCGTGCCGTAAACTGCGAGTTACATGTAGATGCATACATGTAAAATTACACTGTGATCACGTTACTTCCTCGCTAGACCGTGACAATTTTAAAACCATTTGTTTTTCATTTCATTTCTTTCGTTGCATGTACTGTAGATTTATAATTCATGAGGCTAGTTTAGTTTTCATACAATTTTTATGAATTGTTTCCCGATTACAGTCCTTTACAGAATCGTTCATTTCATAAAGAAACCAGGGTTCTCTGTGTAAAGGTTGCGTTTGCAGACACACCTAGACACTTAGAAGAATATAAATTTCCCCGTCAAATAGCCGCCGGAGGGTCATGTTTAGCGGTGAACTGTCTCCGAGCTAAGACTAAGGCTAATTCCAGGCAAAAAGCTCTGCGTAAGATTGTGACCTCTGACTTTGGAATAGTTTGGGCCAGACTTGTTTTTTTTTTTTTTTTTTTTTTTTTTTTGGTACGTCTCATTTCCAGTGTTCCAAAATGATAGAAAATACAACCGTTTTTTTAAGTTTCATTGTTGTTGCTACAACCGTTCATCGATACGGATGGTAGTTAAAACTGTTAAAACTGTTCTTTGTTTTAGACCGCGTGTTTTCGGGAGGAGAGAGATGTGTTGGTGAACGGAGACTGCCAGTGGATCACCACCCTGCACTACGCCTTTCAGGATGACAACAATTTGGTAACACAACACTCACTGTTTTTTTTGTTTTGTTTTTTTCTCTTCTCTCTTCCCGTGACAACGAATGCCATGTTAAATGCTGAAAATATTCAAATCTACACTAATGAAAGCTGAGATAAATCCTCTATATTTAAATCAGAAAATTTGAATCAACGTTATTCGGAGTTTCTAAAGTAAAGAGCACTTTCTCTAACCTGTCATGGTGTCCTCTCTCAAAACCCCGAACTGACCTGCCTCGACTACTCGTCATTCCAGCTCCCACCTTTTGACAGTAAATTCTTTAGCACTTTAATGGACGCTCCAAAAAAAAAAACAAAAACATGCTAGCCTAGCTCTAGTTTTTACATTTTTTGCGTTTTTTATAAGTCTACATAAATAACCAATTTCTTTCCTAAATGCCAGTATATATGGTATATATATATTTTTTTTTTTTTTTTACAATTGTCCTTACTTCCAATGTCCCCGTCTCCCCAGTATCTGGTCATGGATTACTACGTGGGCGGCGACCTGCTCACTCTGCTCAGCAAGTTTGAGGACCGACTGCCAGAAGAGATGGCCAAATTCTACCTGGCGGAGATGGTGCTGGCCATCGACTCGGTTCATCAGCTGCACTACGTCCACAGGTGAGACGCAGACGGGGGCGTGTCCGGGGACGCCGCGTGTTGTTTTTTTTTGTTTTTTTAATGTGTGCATTTTAAAACGATTTTCTACAAAACTGCAGACGGAGGAATACGTCTTGTTGATGGATGATCTTATGTGTATTTATGTCGGCGCTGCTAAATGAGAATTAGTGGGAACTGACTGAGGACTGTGGCGATGGGTTGGGTTTGAACAGGTTTGTCAGTTGTCGTTGACAGCAGTCTGTACCACTAAGGCTAATTACAGACTATATCGGTTTGTGTTATTGTTCACATGTAACGAAATTGACACTCGAGGCGAGATGTTAATTCCGGGACAAATAATTGGAATTGTGTAACGTTTTCCACTATTTTTTTTTTTTTTTTTTTGAGTTCCAAATGAATTGGGTAGAAATGGGTAAGTAAAGAAAGGGGGGGGTGAA